TGTTGTTTAGATTGAAATGTTTCTGTTTATCTGTCTCCTCCTGTTGTTGTTTTTTTATCTTGAATCACACATTCAAGCCTGTTAGTAGAAATGTATAAAATCAGTACAGCCTCATTGTCTCAAACACTTGGACATAACTCAGTGGCTACCCACAGACAGAGCCCTTATTGTTCTGTTTTGGCTCATATTATCATGTACTGCAGCTTGTACTGTATAATTCTGGTTACTCAATGTATGTTTATATGCATCTTCAAGTCCAGTAAAATGTCAAAACCACTAGAAACATTCAACAGAGCTGTTATTGTAATGTTGATGATACCTTATGGCTCTGTGTACTGCACATACTGCACATAGACATGTGAACACTATATTTATATCAGATGTGGACATTCAGCATTTCCTGGGGTGTATTCACAGTACACTTCAGGGCATACAAATAACCCCCAGTATTCAGTGATAATGTCTTGCACGATGATTCAGCACTAATTCTGTCAAAGTGCGTCTGTGAAGCATAGGTTACATAATCCATTATTTGGATTATTATTTTTGTAATATTTGTAAGCTTATTTTTGTAATATTTGTGAGCTTATCATTAAAGTGATGCTGTAGTGTGGAGGATCTACTCTGTACAAATAAAAGTTACCAGCCTACACAAGCTTCCAGCAGTGTGAGCGCGTAGAGTGTTTCATGATGTCATTAAAAAACTCATAGTATGGCATGTAATATACATATATATGTATATATGTGTGTATATATATACAGTACAGGCCAAAAGTTTGGACACACCTTCTCATTCAATGAGTTTTCTTTATTTTCATGACTATTTACATTGTAGATTCTCACTGAAGGCATCAAAACTATGAATGAACACATGTGGAGTTATGTACTTAACAAAAAAAGGTGAAATAACTGAAAACATGTTTTATATTCTAGTTTCTTCAAAATAGCCACCCTTTGCTCTGATTACTGCTTTGCACACTCTTGGCATTCTCTCCATGAGCTTCAAGAGGTAGTCACCTGAAATGGTTTCCACTTCACAGGTGTGCCTTATCAGGGTTAATTAGTGGAATTTCTTGCTTTATCAATGGGGTTGGGACCATCAGTTGTGTTGTGCAGAAGTCAGGTTAATACACAGCCGACAGCCCTATTGGACAACTGTTAAAATTCATATTATGGCAAGAACCAATCAGCTAACTAAAGAAAAACGAGTGGCCATCATTACTTTAAGAAATGAAGGTCAGTCAGTCCGGAAAATTGCAAAAACTTTAAATGTGTCCCCAAGTGGAGTCGCAAAAACCATCAAGCGCTACAACGAAACTGGCACACATGAGGACCGACCCAGGAAAGGAAGACCAAGAGTCACCTCTGCTTCTGAGGATAAGTTCATCCGAGTCACCAGCCTCAGAAATCGCAAGTTAACAGCAGCTCAGATCAGAGACCAGATGAATGCCACACAGAGTTCTAGCAGCAGACCCATCTCTAGAACAACTGTTAAGAGGAGACTGCGCCAATCAGGCCTTCATGGTCAAATAGCTGCTAGGAAACCACTGCTAAGGAGAGGCAACAAGCAGAAGAGATTTGTTTGGGCCAAGAAACACAAGGAATGGACATTAGACCAGTGGAAATCTGTGCTTTGGTCTGATGAGTCCAAATTTGAGATCTTTGGTTCCAACCGCCGTGTCTTTGTGAGACGCAGAAAAGGTGAACGGATGGATTCCACATGCCTGGTTCCCACTGTGAAGCATGGAGGAGGAGGTGTGATGGTGTGGGGGTGTTTTGCTGGTGACACTGTTGGGGATTTATTCAAAATTGAAGGCACACTGAACCAGCATGGCTACCACAGCATCCTGCAGCGACATGCCATCCCATCCGGTTTGCGTTTAGTTGGACGATCATTTATTTTTCAACAGGACAATGACCCCAAACACACCTCCAGGCTGTGTAAGGGCTATTTGACCAAGAAGGAGAGTGATGGAGTGCTGCGGCAGATGACCTGGCCTCCACAGTCACCGGACCTGAACCCAATCGAGATGGTTTGGGGTGAGCTGGACCGCAGAGTGAAGGCAAAGGGGCCAACAAGTGCTAAACACCTCTGGGAACTCCTTCAAGACTGTTGGAAAACCATTTCAGGTGACTACCTCTTGAAGCTCATGGAGAGAATGCCAAGAGTGTGCAAAGCAGTAATCAGAGCAAAGGGTGGCTATTTTGAAGAAACTAGAATATAAAACATGTTTTCAGTTATTTCACCTTTTTTTGTTAAGTACATAACTCCACATGTGTTCATTGATAGTTTTGATGCCTTCAGTGAGAATCTACAATGTAAATAGTCATGAAAATAAAGAAAACGCATTGAATGAGAAGGTGTGTCCAAACTTTTGGCCTGTACTGTATATATATATATACACACACACACACACACATATATGTATATAATATAATATGTCATAGTATAGCATGTCAAAAAAAAAACACCTCAGCATAGTATGTAAAAAAAAAAGCTCATAGGATAGTATATCAAATAAACGTCACAGAATATTATCTCAAATAAATGTCATAGTATAGCATGTAAAAAAGAAAATCATTGTATAGTATGTCATAAAAAAGTGATATTATAGTATGTCATAAAAATGTCACTATATAATATGTCAAAAAAAGCCATAATATAGTATGTCAAAAAAACATCATAGTATAGTATGTCACTAAAAACGCCATAGTATAGCATGTCAAAAAAGTCATAGTATAGTATGTAAAAAAAACGTCATAGTATAGTATGTCAAAAAATGTTATAGTATAGTATGTCAAAAAAGTCATAGTATAGTGTGTCATAAAAACGTCACAGTGTAGCATGTCAAAAAATTCATAGTATAGCATGTCTAAAAAACGTCACAGTATAGTATGTCAAAAAAGTCATAGTATTGTATGTCACAAAATGTCAGTTTAGTATGTCTAAAAAATGTCATAGTATAGTATTTCAAAAGAAGTCATAGTATAGTATGTTAAAAAATGTCATAGTATAGTATGTCAAAAAAGTCACGGTATAGTATGCCAACAAAAAGTCATAATATAGAATGTCAGAAAGTCACAGTATAGTATGTCAAAAAAAAGTCACAGTATAGTATGTCAAAAAAATCATAGTATAGTATGTCAAAAAGTCACAGTATAGTATGCCAAATAAAAGTCATAGTATAGTATGTCTAAAAATGTCATAGTATAGTTTGTCAAAAAAAGTCACAGTATAGTATGTCAAAAAAAGTCATAGTATAATATGTAAAAAAATGTCACAGTATAGTATGTCAAAAAAAAGTCACAGTATAGTATGTCAAAAAAAGTCATAGTATAATATGTAAAAAAATGTCACAGTATAGTATGTCAAAAAAGCATCATAGTATAGCATGTCAAAAAGTCTTAGTATTGTATGTCAAAAAGTTTTAGTATAGTATGTCAAAAAAATGTCAGTATAGTATGTCAAAAAACATCATAGTATAGTATGGCAAAAAGTCACAGTATAGTATGTCAAAAAAAAGTCACAGTATAGTATGTCTAAAAACATCATAGTATAGTATGTCAAAAAGTCACAGTATAGTATGTCAAATAAAAGTCATAGTATAGTATGTCTAAAAATGTCATAGTATAGTGTGTCAAAAAAAAGTCACAGTATAGTATGTCAAAAAACATCATAATATAGTATGGCAAAAAGTCACAGTATAGTATGTCAAAAAAAAGTCACAGTATAGTATGTCTAAAAACATCATAGTATAGTATGGCAAAAAGGCACAGTATAGTATGTCAAATAAAAGTCATAGTATAGTATGTCTAAAAATGTCATAGTATAGTATGTCAAAAAAAGTCATAGTATAGTATGTCAAAAAAGTCATAGTATAGTATGTCAAAAAAAGTCACAGTATAGTATGTCAAAAAAAAGTCATAGTATAGTATGTAAAAAAATGTCACAGTATAGTATGTCAAAAAAAAGTCATAGTATAGTATGTCAAAAAAGTCATAGTATAGTATGTCAAAAAAAGTCACAGTATAGTATGTCAAAAAAGTCATAGTATGTCAAAAAAAGTCATAGTATAGTATGTCTAAAAATGTCATAGTATAGTATGTTAAAAAAGTCATAGTATAGTACGTCAAAAAAGTCACAGTATAGTATGTCAAAAAAATTTATAGTATAGTATGTCAAAAAAGTCACAGTATAGTATGTTAAAAAAAGTCATAGTATAGTATGTCAAAAAATGTCATAGTATAGTATGTTAAAAAAGTCATAGTATAGTACGTCAAAAAAGTCACAGTATAGTATGTCAAAAAAAATTATAGTATAGTATGTCAAAAAAGTCACAGTATAGTATGTTAAAAAAAGTCATAGTATAGTATGTCAAAAAAGTCACAGTATAGTATGTTAAAAAAAGTCATAGTATAGTATGTCAAAAAAGTCATAGTATAGCATGTCAAAAGACCTAATATTATAGCATGTCAAAAAGTCATAGTATAGCATGTCAAAAAATTCATAGTATAGCATGTCAAAAGTCATGGTATAGTATGTCAAAAAAATGTCATAGTATAGTATGGCAAAAAAAAGTCATAGTATAGTATGTTTAAAAAACGTCAGTATAGTATGACAAAAAAGGTCACAGTATAGTATGTCAATAAAAGTAATAGTATAGCATGTCAAAAAATTTAATAGTATAGCATGTCAAAAAAAGTCATTGTATAGTATGTCATAAAAACGTCCTACTTTTGACAACAAATTCATAGTACCGATTCAAGGGTGCATTTGATGTGTTGTTATGGGACATACTTACCATAAACATAACTTGTGTTTGTTAAAATTCTCACATGGCACCTTTTGGGTCCTCTTGCCACTCACTGAGTAAACTCCACTGAAGGCTGTAACATGATTTGACCCCGTGTTGAGACTACTTAGTCGAACATTGATGCGTAGACACAAATAGTGAATTCCATTTTAATTGTTTCTTTCTCTTGTGTCTTTTTCTCGTTAGATTTGGGACATGAGCGATGACGAGAGCATCTGAAGGACAGGAGGAACCGACCCTGAGCCTCGAAAGAACTCAGCACTCCACTCCTTCTGTTTTGTCTGGTTTGTTTTCTTTAAGGACTTTACAAAGGACAAGAGCTTTGCAGGCAACAGCAGACACACTCATCAAATTCTTGTAATCAGAACCAAGCACATTACAAAACGCTTTTCAGAAAAGAGCCTGAAAGACATGCTTTAAATGTTTTAGTTGGTCTACATGTCGAATCAAGATCAACCAAAGCATTGGATTTCATAATAATGAAACAGCAAAAGAAATAGATTTACTGCTTAAATGAATGTTTTTCACTGTTCAATTAGAAACAGGATCATAGCTCAGTAAGTTAATTTCCACTGTGTGTATGAAGCTGTTGTGTTTTGAGGAGAATGTACATGTTTCTATCACGTCATGATGTGTAATCAGTCACATTCACTCAGTGTTTGGAGTCGGTTCATTTCCCTGAGACCAAACACAACAAAGCACTCTGCATTTGTATCATGGGACTTGTTTTAAGCCTCACTGAACCCCATAGGTTCAGTCCTCTCCACGGTCTCTCCATCAACACATTTAATGGGTTTGCTGAGTCCTTTGGCAAGATATTGCCCAACTACATCTGCTCGCTCATTCACTTACTTCAGATAAATTACGAAATTAAAAAAACACAGTTGACAACTCAGCACGTCCATCCATCTCCCCTGTCTGTTTACTGGAGACTGTGATACATACAGTACAGTTAATACTTAAACCAGCTTTGTTCCTGTGAAAGTAGGAAACCTGCACACAGACGTTACTGAGCAGCTTCTGATATGGAAATGATTTACTGTTCCTGGGGACAACCTGGGACCTGCAACTGCACAGTTTAATCTGAAAGAGCCTACGGACAAAGTGAAGGTCTTTATGTTTTGTGTTGACGCATGCGTTTGTCAGTGTAGTTATGTTGCTTTTCTTACTCTACAGTGTGCTGTTCGTCTGAGCTGCTAACGTTCAATACTTTCAGTGTAATGACATGTTAATTTCAACAGCTGTTTGGATATTTGTGGAAGACTTTAAGTACAATGTGGAAAGAGAGCTGGGAACTTTTAAAGTTAAGAAGTTTAGTCAGAATTACGAGAACAATAACAACCAGAATTCAGACTTTGTCCTCAGATTTTATTTTTAAAGTTGAGATTAAACTCTGGATTCTGATGTGGTTTACATTATTCTCAGAGCTGTTTTTGTCACGCTTTTTTCTTCTGTAAGTATTTAACCAAAAACTGGAATAAAATGTCTCTTTATATGTCTGTTTGCAGCTTTGACCTTTATTTTGAAAACAGGTGAATGTGGAATTCATAATTCACATCCTTACACTCACAGCAGCTGCATCTTTTCATCTGTTGTCACCATAACACACCACAGCAGTAACAAACAGGCCCACACAGTCAGACAGTGGTTTAAAAGCACTTTATTGTTCATCAAGGCTACTTTACGTACAAAAAAGGTGGCCTGCCAAAACCTTTTTAGTAGGAGGAGACACAGAGCCACAAATTGACTGTTGTTTTCTTGATACAATTTTTTTTCTTTTTACAGTTCAGAGTATTACTACCACTAAGTACATGCTACTTCCACTTCAAGAAGGACTTGGAAAATGTGGTACAGTCAGAGTAAAGACCAACTCCTCTTTGATTTATCTGCACAATTTTCATGTTGTTTACTCGATTACAGATGCAAAATGGCCACCACAGATGGGAACAGCGCCATCAGATACATGGGTGACATCCCCAAAGATTATATGCTGCAGATGAACTTGAGCACAAAATAGGTATGACAATGCTGTCGGGGTTTAGTTAGTTCACCGATAAAACTTAAGCTGAACCAGTCCGACAAATGTTCTCAAACAGCTCAGTTCCTACAGTTTATATTCCTCACCTGTAGTGTCAGGAATTTTAACTACCTGCTAGCCCATAACTAATATTGATTTATATTTCATTTTTAATACTTAAATGGAAACGCTCGGCAGGACTCACTGGGCTAGTGGCAAAATTATTACGTTCCATCAATGCAAAACTTGCAACTCACTGAAGAGGCCTCTTAACGGACACCCTCCTTTGTTCAGATGTCTCAGAAGACACATGATCGAACACAAGTTAAATGATTGCAGAACAGTGGGGACCTATGGAAGTAGCGATTGTCACCGACACACCAGTGGCTTGTATTGTGGTTTCATATGTTTTACTGTGTTCCTGCACTTGAACCTTTACTCTAACAAGACAAAACTCTATAAACAAAAAAGATCAACTTTTTTCACAAAAAAAGAAAATGCAATGATTACAATATAAGGACAGGGAAAAAACAACAATTAAATAGCTACACATCATTAACAAATTAATTGTTCCTCAAAAAATACCTACGATTTTTTTCTCTGTACATTCGTTACGCACAGCGTAATGATGGTCTTATAGTTACCTATTATAAAAAAGTATTTTTTTTTTATTAAGTGATTTTCCTACAGTGTGTAGGGAGTGTGTGCCGAAGCAGAAAGAGAGCCTCCTACCTACAGGGTGGTAGTGAAATGATAATGAGAAAGAATAATAATAGAAAAACAAAAATCCTCTGGACACTGAGCCCTTTTCCCTCGTGTTTTCTAGCATGATGCTCGCTACGACAAATCTTAATCAGGGTCAACTGAATGTGAGAGGAGGAAGGGGGAGTGGCATCGCTGTGAGACTTTCAGTGGCAGCTGAACGTCTCCTGCTTACAGAAGCTCAGCTCCTGAAGCTCCGCCCCCTCCGAACCTCCTGCCTGCTCAAAATCACCATCCAAACCACTCTGAACCTGTCACAAAAAAAGCACATTCACACCCAGCACTTACTCGTTTGGGAGATTCACTGGCAGTTGCGCTCTGACTACGAATTTTGTGTATCTGAAGCTTGTAGAACTTTGACCATCGGTTGTGTCACATCTGTTCAGTTGAGGATGGAATGTGTGGACATTCTAGAACACTGAGAAATGTACTTGATAAACAAAAACAAAAGACCTAAACCAAACAAATATGAACCTCGTCACCTTTCAACCTCCGCTCAGAAACACAAAATTATTCTGTACTTTTGAAACACACTGACTCACATCACCGTCTCTAAATTCTACGCTCTGAATGTCCTCAAAAATGCTCTATGTATTTATGGCATAAATGCTTGTTTGTTCCTTTGTCATATGGTATGAATCTATGGCCAATTTGCTTGATGCAAATTAAAAAAAAAAAAAGTACACACCTTGTACAACAACCCCGTTGGCAGGGACCTCTGGGACAGTTGGCCCTGGCTGGTTATGAGCTCTGTCTGTTGAGTGTGTATGAGACCTGTACAAAGTTCCCTATAGGAGGAATGTATGCCACCGTGGCGCAGGCTCTTTAACAGAAGAGTACTCATTTTCTCAGACTGCAGCAGTCTAGCTTAACTGCATCACAAAACAATGTTGTTCAGAAAAGAAAGCATTGACGTACAACGACAGAAAAAAGCGCAGACACCAAGTCGGGACACGAAAAGCCCAAGGATGAATGTCTGAATTTAGATAATTATCATCAAGTGTTTTGTTTTGATTGCTGCTTGGTTTTTCACAGCTCTCAAACGTTGACAAGATGTCTGAGAGCCGTCATCACTAGCTTTTACCATAAATACCTTGTTTCCCAAAAGCATCATAGCATGCTGGCCTGTGTACTTTTCAGACTGCAGCAAGAACGTGAGTAAAGGTGGCGTGGTGATTTTAAGATGGCGGCCAAACAGACTTAAAATAAAGCCACTTTGAGATGCCTTTCAGGAAAACGAGGCCCTGCTGACTAATCTGTGCCGACTTTGTGTCTCAGCTCACTCATGCTAAAGGTTGTAGCATCCTGTACCACCGATGGATCAACATCTTAAGAAAACCTTTACGGGCTGCGCGTGCCAAAGCCAACTCGACACTGAAAACATCTCCACCGATTCCCGTGCTGAGATGGTTTTGAAAAACGCAGCTCTCATTGTTAAACAGAGCCTGTCCGGAGGCTATCCCACTATAGATGTTTGTTACCATACTGATATTAATGGAAAACAAAAAATACAAAATTGTAATAACAATAACAATAATATGGAGTACGACTGACCCAGCAGTGAGTGTATAGTGTCTATGTCTGTTACTGACAACAAATGAAGTAACATCTAACGTCCGAATGAAAAGGCTAATAGTAGTTAAGATTGAAATGCTTAAAAACATTAATAGATACCAGCTATTAAAAACAAAAACAAAGAAAAACATGCATGTGTAAAAGCATTAGTTTACCCTTCAAACTTTGTAGAGATCTACCAAACCACAGTGTGTAAGAGAGGGAGGGGTCGCAGGGTGTAAGCCAAATATAATTACAACACCCGTGTTCAAAGAGATACAAAAACAAAGGCGTGTTTGAAGAGATGTGAATAATCTTCTCTCCCCCGGTCGAGAAACCAGACTTTTTTTTTTTTCAACCACAAAGTGACATGCAGCTTCATCTATCCCCTCATCGCTGTCAGCAGTTAAGCCTGTGAAACACATCAAAGCTCATTGTTCAGTAAGCAACACGCTGCAAGTCGTACAGCTGTGTTTTCAGCCCCTGACCTGCTCTCATAATGGCTCTGACGTCCATCGACACCGCAGTCGGCTGATTTGATGCTCTCACTGTGCTTGTGAAATGAAATGCAACAGTTTGGCACTATTTAAGCATGTGAAGGAGTGTAGACCTGTCAGTGAGTGGCTGCCAGGGGTGGCAATACAAGCAGCCTTTTGTTTTTTAGCGCCCACCTAACAGCAGCTCTACTCAACATGCAGTGATGTGACAAAATTCACTTTATACTGAAACACAAGGGCCCAATCCCATTTCTAATTTTTAAGGGCATTGCAAATATGCAGTCTATTGTTATAGTGATTTTTCTTGCGCAGGTGACACGGATTCTTTTGCAGTTGTCAGGACGTTCGCAATTGGTTCACATTTTAAGTTTCCAGCTATCAATCCATCAAATAAGTCATCAACATTGCTTCATTAGTGAGCAACCAGCAGTGCTCTGTAAGCTAACGTTAGCAACCGGTGCTGCTGCCCTGTCAGTCTGCACTGATATTAGAGGAGTAAGAACAAGTGCAGCATCTTCACAGCTGGACCTATGATAAATTTCGGGGTCAGATGACGTCAAAAGGGGGGAAAGTGACATGAAATTATGTCTGATTTCAGGACTGTCATGCACAAATACGCACTAACAATGTAACATTAGCTAGCAAGCTAGTTAGCTACCAAGATATTGGCATGGTAGCAATTTCTTTGTCGCCATAATACATTAAAACAACATTAAAATACAGGAATCAGGACACCCTACCGTTAGATGAACACGCAATATGGAGGAGTAACGCTAAGTGGCAGGGGCCAGGGGATTGGGATTGGGCCTTGGTTTCCAAATCCATATTACTTTGCATATCTCTAACATTTTACACTGCCCGGCCTCACTGGTATGAATTTTCCACTTTTCCAAAATGCATTCAAAAAATTATGTATCATAATGTGGCTTGTACTTTTCTATCAGGGCCAGGATGAAAGTTACGCCCAGGTGAATTTCAAACAGTAAATGGGATCAAATAGAGGTTCCAACAAAAGATGGATTATAACCAGACTGCGTCAAAACCAGCTTTATCAGTCCCAGTGTGTGCAGTGCCAGATTACCATATTGACATGCCACCTTTTACCCTCTACGGCAGTAGTGCAAATCAGACCAAGTCGATCACCCAAGTATACACATACAGTAACAAAACCCCCAGAACACATACACAGGAGCGAGAGGGAGAGAGAAGGAAGGTGAGAAGAGATGAAAACAGAGAGAGATCACAAGATGGCTTTTTGTTGTTGTTGTTTTCGAGGCGGGCGTAGATAAACATCAGTGTCTGAGGTTTCTTTGGTAGCACAGTCAGGTGGTTTGTGATGATTTTCTCCAAAGTGTTTCTCACTTATCTTTTCTTTCAAATGTCGGGCATCTCGTAACACAAAAGCAGAACACAAAACTACTGTTAAAGAAACAAACAAACAAACAAAAAAAAAAAAACAAAGAAGAAAATTAATAATTAAAACACCGCCTTTCCTCTCTCTCTTTATGTACATATAACTACAGACACTTGCTCAGCTCCAAGCTGGACATGCAGGGAGGATGAATGATTGGAAGGAGCAGCTCGATGCTCCTGTCGAGTCCCAAAGTCGAACCCTCATCACTTGTTACTGATTATTCTCTGGCGTTACCACACCAGAGGACAGAAGGGGAAAAAGAAACGGCCATGTTGTTATTGCTTGATTGATCCTCTATGAGTGCATAGAGAGAGAGAGCAGGCTCGAGGGTTTAAATGTTCTTAGCAGACCAGCAGGCAGGCATTCCCTCTGGGATGCTGGTGACAGAGCAAAGTGACAAGGACATGGGTGTTGGAGCCAGGATGATCGGGAGGGCTGGGGGAACAGGGGCAAATCCCTCTTCAACCCCTCCTCCTTCAGGAGACCACAGAAGGGGAGTGGTTGTGATTGACCATGTGACTGTCGGGGGAGGAGTTTGGGCTGCTGCCGGACGACGAGGGACTCCCCTTGTTCTTAATCTGCAGCCAGGTCTCGCCCAGCGCCTTGGCGAAGTGGTCGTCCACTGAGCCTGTGATGGACACAGAGTTGGTGGGCTCGGGCTCCTTGTAGTTCTTTCCGAGACTGCGGCGGAAGTGCTCCTCTATCACTGGGTCGCAGGCTGTGTTGGCTAGGACAGGGAGGTAAGACAATAGAGAAAGAGAGATTTTAGTTCTCATAATAAAAACAGAAACATCTCTAAAACTCACTTCTATAAAGTTCAGTGGCCAATTTATTGCCTAGCATCAGTTTAAACACTGGTAATGTGCATTTTAAGTCAACGGAAAAATACCAACTCCAACATCTACTTCACTTTTTCATTGCAGTTTTTTTAATATTAAATCACTGTTTTAAATTTCACTGTTAACCTCAATGAGATCATAGGGATTTCACTGGGATCATAAAAATGGCCACAGTTAAGTTATCAACCCACAGAAAACATGACCCACACTCACAGACAGGCTGAATAAAACAGACATGAGTTTGGCTCAGGCCTCCTTTACAGTACAAAGATAACAGACAAGGTAGTAAATAAAGCATGTTGAGGCCTCTGAGACTCTCTGACAGGAAACTGGATGATTTTTTTTTTTTTTTTTTAGTATCACTAGTTATATAAGTCGGTCTGAATGTGGAGAGTATGAGCGGTTGTGTTTTCTCTGGAGGGTGATTTGCACTCATGGAGAGGTTTCCCACAAACTGCACTGTATGGGAAACTCATTTTTCCAAAATTATATCCAATTTTAGGGACAAATGGGCCCAGCAAAGGTTACTTAGTAACAATCTGTGTCAATTAATTACTGAGATACGTTCATCCATCACCGTTCCCTCTGCCATGAAGCTAAAACTGAATAAGTAAAGAGAACTAGGATGTTGTGTGTTTTGTGTTTGTTGATCAGGACGCATGAGTGCACTCACTGTTGATTCTCCTGTAGTTGTTAGCGAGGCTGGCGCAGCCGTTGTGGGACACTGGACAGTGAGACAGGTTGCAGTTACGGTTGTTGGCCGGGGCGCATGTGATCACTGAAGGACGATTCTACAACACAAAAACACAATTCTACATTCAGAGATCACAAACACAACATAGACAATTGTAATTACGGGGTGTGCAAGAAGAATAAGTAAAAAGAGACCGCATTAGAAAAATGGCAAATATTCAAGTAAAGACGGCAGACCAAAGGGAGGTTTGAAGCTTGAGGGAGAGCGAATGATTCAGTGACCACCAGGGTTTTAAAACATTTTTGGTTAACAAGCCGAATAGGAAATTTATACTCCCCACCATCCAAAGAGCCTGGCTATTGAGAGCACATTAGTCACATCATGTGGGGGACCTACCAGAGATGAGGTTTTACCCAGCAATTTGCAAAAAGATGTGTAGTCAGTACCAGAACCAAAGGAACAGGATGTGCAAGTTACCTGCTGGCGTTCCACTGCGCTGACTGTGTGCGGCACTGTGGCCATAGCTGCTGTGCTGCTGCGTGCAGACTCCACCATGCTGTTTTTGGTGAGCGCCAGTGGCTGGTCCATGCCGGCTAAGCTGGCCAGGTGGTGGTGGTGGTGGTGGGCATGGCTGTACAGGTGATTGCTGTGGACTCCCAGAGCGCTGGGCACCACCACGCGCTCGATGGGGCTCCGGCTCCGGTCCTTGGAGATGGGGGAGCTGCGGTAGTCTCCGTTAGGTTTCCTGGGAAACAGAGAGAGGCACATGAATTTAACCTGCACACTGGGTTGTGTATGTATGTGTATTTATTTTATGAGTGGGATCTGATAGCGCTCTACTGACTATGCATCCAGTTACAAGACGTACTGAATCAATTTTGGTTTAGCCTCAAACAATTCTAAGTAAAAAAGAAAACTCAAGTTTTGTTTAATAGTTAACATATTTGCTCTTTGGATTAAAGACAACCCCAATGTTTTCCAATTTGCTCTTTACTACTACAAAGAGGAGATTTCATAAGAAATCCAGAGCTTAAACAAATCTTTCTATTTTACCAACATGACCCCAAGTTACCCAAAACCCAATCCTCGGTTTGTGGGATGAGCTCAAAGAAAGATGAGGAAAGACTGGTGGCAGATGGTGTGTCAAAGCAGAAAGATGGACAGAGGAAAAAAAAGATGAGCAGAGGAGAGACGAATAAAGACAGCGAGATAAAGAGGGGCTCAGAGAAAGAGAGAGCTGAGATGAGGCAGAAAAGAGGGAAGATAAACAAAAGAGCAATTGTAAATGGGGCTCTGTGTCAAACACTGCAGGACCAGCAGAAGCTATTAATACTGACCTCACACACACACTCTTCTCAGATTGCTGTGGGGTTTGATAAGACTGTTTTATACAAGCACATGCTCACACACACACACTCTCTAAGTCTAAGAAGGAGGAAGGAACACTCTCCTAACTTTATCTAACATGGATGGACTCCAAGCGTGTCCCTGCACAGAGGGGCAAATGGGCACAAAGTTCAAAGCTCTAAAGTGGTTTCCTCAGTAAAGTGAATCAACTTTATCTCTCCAGTGAGCCTGGAGCCGGCTGCACGTACTGCTGTGCGATCCGAAAATCCTGCAGTCCTAATAACAGCATAGACGCGAGCTGACGAGTTGTCTCCCTGCATCTCAACACTTGAAGTTTACATCCCTCTTTGTATATTTCTCATTCTTCTACTCCACAACACATCGTCCACACTCACAACCATGACAGCCGGCTGGCCACACACTTTCCATATGAAAGAAAATGACTTCCCACCACAAAGAAATCGCTCCGCTCTCCCCAAACTGTGAGCTCATATTGTAATCATTGAAAAAGCAGAGATAAGGGTAAGGGATTAAAGCAACGACAGTTTGACACAACACAGATTTTGGCCTCTTTTATTTCCCTCCTCCCAGCTCTGACGATAGTGACTTTGAAATGTTTGATATGTGTTGAAGTGGTGGTGCCTGATACCGTGCACCTGCTTGCAGTTTAACAGGTAGCAATTATTTTTCTCAGTGCGTCAAATGTGGTCTGTGTTCTGTGCGTGTGTGTTCAACTGTGTATTACACCCTTACTGCAGCTCCACTCCCCTTCTACACTTTGAGGCCCAGTTACAGGGAGCAGGATTTACTGTACTCCTCTCTCGCTATCTCCTCTTTTCTCTCCAACTCCATACACACATGCATAGACACATCCATTCACAAATTAATACATCCTCACTGACAAAAACACTACACATAAACACTCAAGTCTCAACTGGGGGGAAAAGCAGTCACATTTACTATACAGAATGGACAGAATACTACGTGAAATTCCCTCTTTATTCTTCACCATGTGGAGGCATTTCTCCAGAAGAAGTCTGAATGGGAACACACAACAGACTTGGAATGAAAAAGCTGCAGCAGCCCTTTAAGGTTTGTTTGGATGCAAACAACAAGTTCAGGCAAACAGTTGTAGATCCATGTGACCAGGCAACCTGACTGCTGGGTCAAGCATCTGGAGCCCACAGCAGCGTCCTACACAAATAAATAGTCTCCACAGAATACAGAGCAGGAGAGAGGAAGAGCTGAGGGGAGGAGAGGGGGGGGCGGGGGGGGGGGGGGGGGTTCCTGCATGTGAATGGTCCGGACCTCTACTATAAGAAAGACTGAGGTCGGTAGTTTCCTTCGTTTGTGCCGAGCGCTTACATTAGCAGAGACCCCCCTCTTTCTTTTTCTCTCTTTGTCTTTCTTTCTCTTTTTTTCCTCACAATCGGCTGCAAACTTCCTGAGGGTTAAAGAGGGAGAGACTTGGCAGCCCTTTTATAAACCCTGGCCGACGGCTCACCAACAAGCTTTTATGTTTTCCCATAGTGGCATCACTTTTCTGTTTCATTCTTTATCAAATAGTCAAAAAATAACTGCACTGTAGAGTTAATCACATAAATATCGGGTCGGAATAATCACAAGTGTGCTCCAGTGAATATACTGTTTGAATTATTTCTAGAGAGAACATCAACTTTTAATCAAATGCTACAAACCACAGCACTCCTGTATAACTCTGTTATCTTCAAATAAAAACAATCATCAGATTAGCTTGGAGGCAAACAGATAATAACGCTCTCCCTCTCTCATCCCCCTCCCAGCAGCTGGGTCTCGAGTTAGGTTGTGGAAGTTGTTCCAAACTTTAATCATTGCCAAAGAGCAGGCATGCCCACATCCTCACACAAGAGGGGCCGTCGCAGAAGCCAGTGAACGGGATCAACAAATCCGACCAATGAATGGCGTAGCTGTCGAATCCACCGCCCCCGCCTTCCCCTCGCCTGATTGCCCACCAAACCCAGGACCGCATTTCATGCCAGGGATCAGGCTTTCAAAACCCACCCCGAGTCTTTGTCTCTCTTACTCACCTCTCAATTATTGTTAGGGTCGCAGCTGGGGAGAGAGGGAGAGGACGCAAAGGGCGGACAACGAGGGGTAGACAGAAGACATGGGCATGGGGGTGGTAACGAGGGCTAGAGCTGAACAGAGAGGGTTGCCAGGTCTGGGGCTAGAGGAGAGGATGAGAGCTAAAAGTGGAGGAGAGAGGGGGACAGCCTTTGAAAAGTAGAGAACTCTGGGACTTGGCATCTACAAGTGGTATGGGGAGACAAACTGAATTTAAAAAGAGGCAAGAGGAGTGGAGACGGGGGAAGAGGTTGGGGACGCAGCTTAATCTTATTTCACAATAAATGTTCACTGGGTTACTTATAACTCTTGGATCAAGCATCAATATGGAGTTAACATCACACAGCAGTGGGGCAGACAAAGAGGAGCTCAGATCTAACAATGCATGTATAGACTGAGAGAAAGCACTCAATTATACAAAACCCAAGTGAGCTCTCATTACCAGCATGTAGACTGCAGGTATTTATAGCAAGAAACCTCCTGCTGAAGTGACTGTCCCTGCAGATTGTACCAGCTGTGGCTAAATATCTCTACTCATTCACTTCTATCTGTATTTCAGATACTCAATAGTTCACTCAAAGGTGAGCAGTAAGTTGAGATTTCAGACACTAATCATTTTGTGTCATCACTCAACACTCCTTTTCACATCTGTAAAAAGTGGGGCATTGTATTGTAGGATTATTAGGAGGAACTTCTGTGTCTGTAACATGATGCCATGGGGCCAAAAAATATCTTTTCCTCAAAGACTTACATTGTGAAAGCGATGTCTGTAAATCAGCGGATACATTTTTTTTTTTAAATGTCAGTACCCCCGCATATGCCTTGTTTCAAGATCGGGATTTGATTCCTGCAATCAGATAACATTTTGAAAGTCTAGAGGAGCTGAAAAATTAAATCATTTTTACCCCAATGTAAGTAAGAGGAGGGCTTAACTGGAAGTTAGCTGCTTGACTGGTAGAAGTTAGCTGCTCGGCTGTGCTTGGTTGCTGTAGGTCTCCAGTGCCCTTGCTTTCTGAGGCTAACAATGCGGAAGATCTTGCCAGTTTCATACTATGGGAATTGAGCTTTTTTGGCTTCATGTGCCACTAAGCAACCTTCATATGAATGAGTGGGGGCCGGCCTCCGACGCTTTATCTGATTCTCTTTATACATACAAATAAAATGGCAAACAGTAAATATGTATTTCATATTTAAATATGGGAGCACAACCTTAGTCACAATGTTCTGATAATAAGTGATATGTATTTATTGTTCATGGGAGATTTCAATAGATAGTTCTTATAGGTTATAAATATTAATGAGCAACATAGTGGTGTTTGTATCTCAACAAAAGCTGGTGACAGATCTGGCTTGATTACTGATCGGTTTTAGAGTGTAGAATAGATTCAGATTCATACTATGTGATCACATTGGAGTGCACTGTTCACCTACAGATGAATAATTTGATTTTATCATTCATGACACTGTCCTTATCCAACTGGTAGAACACTGAGTGCATTTTGTTTTATTCACCCATTCTATATAAATTTCAGACTTGTCAAGAGGTGTCAGCTTTTGATTCTGAATGATAAATTCACCTAAATGAGCTTTAGATTTTTGATACTCAAAATCAAAACCAGGATCTGTAATTCTGCCAGATACCATGTAACCAATCTTTTGAAAGAAGGATTTGAAAATGTGTATGACGGTTCTAAATAAAATCAATAATCTGTTTATCTTCATGAATCAAGACTCAAATTTGGATAAAATCATGACCTTAAAATTGAAAGTCTAATCAAATTTTGGATTTGGAGAATCGTGACACTCCTAGTGTCAACACCTATAAAACCTAGCTTGACAGTTTTTTACATTTTGGATTTACTGTGGACCACCTCTATGTTGTATGCAATTATATGTACAAAGAGTGCAGAGGCGTGATCCTCCCCATCTCAGACTGACTTTTTCACCAGTTCATGTTTTGACATTGAGAACCGTGTGACTGACGTCAGAATGGACATCTTGACACAATGAACCAGAGAGCAGATATCTATTTGATTCTATTTTACTAGAGCCTGGGTTATGTGTAGCCTGACATTAGTGGTAGTCACTGTGGTGGGCATTCACTGGAAGATCCCTTAATTTAAAACCCAGAGAGTCCAACCCTCAATACATAAATGATATAGTCATATATCTCGAACAATATTACACCGCTCAGATCTGTCATTAAGTACAGCCTTTTAAGTAACCATTCACATGACACCCTGTCTTCAAGTCGACCTCAAACTAAAGATCACAACTGTGATCATGTGTTTGAAT